GGGAAAACATCGGCTTCATACCATCATTTTTCCCACAATGATTACACTCTCCGTGCATCATCATTCAACAGTATTTGCTTTCATTCCCTCTGTTTTGTTTTTTATTTAGGGGTGCAGGATGTGTACACAAAAACACTCAGGAATATATAATAATTCAATCAACCTGCCTGCCTCCTGGTTATGGTGGCCATCCTGAATTTTGAGAGCAGCATTCGATTGAGACGGTATGATGGCACAGGTGTTCCCCTGGCTACAAGAAAGACACGATTCGCTCTTATTCCCCACATTCCCTTAGTGACCAGCGGTGTGGCCAGTCACCACCTTCACTCACCTGCACAGCCCTTGCTCTGCCAGAGGCTGAAGCCACTCCTTTGTGAGTTGGGCACCAGATGTACCACCCTCATCTGGAAAAGATAATCTCTGCCTCTTTAGAGTAGCAGAAATCCCAGCCATGGAGGAGCAAGAACTCCCATAACTAACTGCTCTACCTACAACTTCCCTCTGGATCTGAAAGAATTACTTCAGGGAACAAAGACACTGACCTGAACCACCTGTAAGAACTACTTTTGGATTAGATACTGTGACCATAGACCATGCCTACAGGAACTCCATCAAGGGCCTGGTATTCCACCCTCTCACTCCTCCCCTTCCCACCTTGTGAATTCCTTGACTGGCAGAGGGTGCCAACCCATACCAGGCACCCTACCCACACACGGCTTATCTTACAGGGCCGCTGAACTTGCCTTTATCTTGATATAAAGTAGTAGGTCTTACACTCCCTGATCTCAAAATTTACTACGCAGCCACAGTAATCAAAACAGCCTGGTACTGGTACAGCAACAGACACACACACCAATGGAAGAGAATTGAGAGTCCAGAAGGAAATTCATCCTCCTATGGACAGCTGCCACTACTCATCTGTCAGTCTGCCATACTGTAGTGACTTGCATGTTGCTGTGATTCTGGAAGCTACGCCACCAGTATTTTAAATATTATCAGGATTATGACAAGCTATGGACACCATCATGGAGAACGAGTATTCTGGAAAACTTAATTGTGCTCATGAGGAACCTGTACATAGACCAAGAGACAGTTATCCTAACAGAACAAGTGAACACCGAATGGTTTAAAATGAGGAAAGGTGTGCTCCAGGGTTGTATTATTTTGCCATATGTAATCAATCTGTATGCTGCACACATAAATCGAGAAGCTGGATTATATGAAAAAGAATGTGCATCAGGATGGGAGGAAGACTCATTAGCAACCTGTGATGTGCAGATAATACAATCTGGTTTGCTGAAATGAACAAAGACTTAAAATACTTATGGATGAAGACCAAAGACCACAGCCTTCAGTATGGATTGCACCTCAATATAAAGAAAACAGGAGGTACCAGACCCTGGAGAAGGCTATCATGTCTGGCAAACTGGAGGATTGGAGAAAAAGAGGAAGACCCCCAATGAGATGGATTGGCACAGTGGCCGTAGTGATGACCTCAGGTGTAGCAACGATTATGAGGTTGGTGCAGGACCAGACAGTGTTTCGTTCTGTTATGCTTAGGTTTGCTGTGAGTCAGTGCCAAGTTGATGGCACCTAACAATGGATAGATGCATGGACTGAATGGGTGCAGGAGGGAGAGTGGGAATTTAGCCACAAATATATACAGCATTGATGGAGGACACAGGCACATGTGTATTTTATCTTGACTTCAAACATATCCATGAATGTGGTGGAGCAGACAGGGAACAAAGTTATGACAACTTCTTAGACATTACTAAACACCTTGAGGCAATGAGTTGCTGGGCCTGGGGGCTCAGGACCATAGTTTCTGAGAACACCATGGTCAATTGGCATAACACAGTCCACAAAGCAATGTTCTCTATCCTACTTTGGTGATTAGCACGTGGGATCTTAAAAGCCCATGAGTGGCCATTTAAGGTACAACTATTGGTCTCTCTCTGTGTCTGGACATATAAAAGAAGAGTGATGAAAACGGAAGGCATTTAGAAATCATTAGTACAATGAACTAATGTTCCATGTGGGCACCAAACTCTTAAGACCCTTAGCCCAGAACTAGATGGTGCCAAGCTACCACCACCAACTTCTCTGAAAGAGATCACATTAGAAGATCCTGAATAGAGTTTTGTGGAACAAAACTCAAAATCATTAAAAAGGTCAGGCTTACTGGTCAGCTAAAGACCGGTAGAACTTTAAGACTATGACCCTTGGTCACCATTCATGTCTGGAAATGAACTCACACCCTGTGGCTCAGTTTTCAGTTGAACAATAGACAAGTCTATAGGGAGAACACAACCCTAGGAAGGCCCATACACCTTAGAATCAACTATTTGAGATCCAAAGGACAGTATTTACCCAAAGACAAAGTTTAGCAAGAAGGAGGAACTGCCCCATGTGGCATCAGAATTGGAGAAAGACCATTAACAACCTTTAATATGCAGATAACATAGTATTGCTTTCTGAAAGTGAAGAGGGCTTAAAGCATTTGCTGATGAAGATCAAAGATTCCTGCCTTCAGTTTGAATTACACCCCAGCATAAAGATAAGAAAAATCTTCATACCTGCACCAGTAAACAATGTCATAATAAATGCAGAAAATATTGAAGTTGTTAAGGATTTTACTTGGCTCCACAATCAACTCCCATGAAAGCAATCAAGAAATCAAATGATATATTGCATTGGGTAAATATGCTGCAAAATACTCTTGAGAGTATTAAAAAGCAAAGATGCAAGACCTGGGGACTCTTGGGCCCAGAGTCAGTGACATAGCCACAGAGGACTAGAGTGGAGAGTGAAGCATCCAGCTGATAAGAAGAGAGGG